CTCTACATTCTATTCATTTCAGAATACATTATTCGAAGATTGGCCATGTTATTCATTAAATAAACACACGCACAACGCTTGACATGAACTTCACGTAATACCTATTACAAAAGAACACCAACCCCATCGTGAAAGTTATTTACAAAAGCCAGACTTGGCTAGGAAAATTGTGAACGCTGCCGAGGGTAGATTGTTTGAATTAGACTGCTACTGGTAGCTTTTGTTTTTATTCTTTTCAAGTCTCTACCGGAGTGGAAACTAGTGGGCGATGTATTTTCAAAGTAAAGGAAAGGGGAATGTGTGCAATATATGCTGACTTTGATGTGAATAAGTAATGTACAGTAATACTGTAGAGTCAACCCTATTGTAGCGATACTTGGGGTCAAATACAGTGTTTTAAAATCATTTATACCATGCATCATGAAAATCACTCTAATCTAATTAGGAATCAGTATGACCATTTTTTTGGAGAAGAAAGATTTTGGGTTTCTACTACTCCGTTTTTGTACAAAAAATATGGAGAACTTCCAAAGGAAGGACGAAAGCAACGAATTTCAAAATGAGTCAAACACTTTTCTTCCACAAATAGTAATCTCTCCTAAATATATACCCCTTTCAATTAAAAAAAAATCGGTTATCAATATTGTTCACAAAAAACAGTTATCACCAACATTCACAATAACATGTGTGGTATTCCACAGAAGACTTCAACATGATGATTTTATTTCTTATAACATACTAAATATCATAAAAATAAATGCATGAGGTCGTTTAATTTCGATTAAATTGGTACACTCGACCACCCTGTAGATTTCTATGGGTTGAACAAAGCCTGCAAAAGCGGTAACTAATCTTTTATCAAGTTTTTTACAAACTGTAGGTTTTCGGCTAAAATGAATAATCTGAAAGTGTCGAGTTTGTACATTCTATGCAATTTCCCTAAAGCGATCTAAAAAAAATTATTGCCATTTTTAAAATATCCCTAGACTTTTCCGATGTGAGTATTTGAAGATACACCACTCGCATTTGGAAATTTGGGATTTTATTTGAGTTATTTTGGATGTACTTGTTGTTAGGATAGGGCATCAAATTAAAACGACCAGTTTAGGTAGACCCACTTATATTCTGTTACAAACGATATCTTTATGGATGCTCAGAATCAACTGACTAATATATATCATGATATACAGTGCTAGTCAAAAGTCCCCTCCCCCCCTCGTATCTTTTGAACGGGTATACATTTTGTTAATAACAATTGCAATTTTTTACCTGCACCAAAATCCTTCAAAAACATTTTTCTAGAGGTGATTCCGAATCGAATGAGCTATCGCTCGTATTTTTAGGACGTTTATCTCTAATTTTCATGTTTTTGAACTTGTTGATTAGACTATTAATATCCAACAACCGGCCCACATACGCTAAATACAGTCCTTACCGAACATCAGCTCCAAAAAAGCAAAAACTGTTTTTTGGCTGGGAAAGTGACGGCGACTGTTCTTAGGAAAGTCATGGAGTTATTTTAATCAATCATCTTCTAAAAGGAAAAACCATCACGGGAGCATACTACTTACTCATCATTACTTGNCCGTTTATTTCCACCCTCCAAAGTTCATTATTAGAAGTATACCCGTTCAAAAGATACGAGGGGGGGAGGGGACTTTTGACTAGCACTGTATAGTCATTCGAGTAGATATGATTCATATTCGCAACGTTTCCATTATATAGTTACTTATATCAGAATAAAATGATAAGCTAGAATACAGGGTCATTCCTATTTAATGTTTTATTGATAAACCCAATACTCGTACTATACTGTATAGTGCAACCTACCTTCCACCAGCTCTCCTTTAATAATATAGTTAGGGAGCTAACAAAGTTCGTTACTCAATAATCATTTCTGATTATATAAGTCTCAGTATGGTGTGTCCATACTTTTCAGCAATACTGTCAAGGGCATACACTTCTTCATGTTTTTGTCTGTAAAACTTGGTTTTTGGTATAGTTATCTTCAAAATACAAATTGTTATCCATTAAAAAACTTTATATTTCATCTTTCCGAATTTTCATTCCGTACGTTGATGAGCTGTCAAACCATTTCTCAAAAATATTAGCTTCCATGTTCTTATGAAAGTAATTTCAAAGAATTCGAAACCCATTCTTTACTTCCTCCGCAATGCACAATTATTATTCGCGTATTTTTGTGCAAAAAAAGAAATGGAATATGATTTATTTTTATCTTTGAAGGAATAAAGGAAACGCGCCGCGTTTTGAGTTCAGAATAGTGACCGTCTCATCATTTTGAATGAGTTTCAAAATTTTCTGCCGACTAAATCCAGAATATTGACCGATGAAATATTTGAATGGATCAAAATAAGAGCAATCAATATATTTGAATGAAATGTTTAGCCATATTTTCAATTTAATCGCAACTAATAATATGAACATTCAAAAATGCCTCCTGAAAGTACTCATTACATAGCTACACTATGTCTAAAATGTGGGAAGATTAGAAAGCAAAAAATTTTTTTTCCCAATCTTTTGTTCATGATGACACATAATAAATTAATTCGTCATGGTATGCAATCATTTCTCAGGAGTGGTGGATATTTATACTGAAAAATTAAATATTTACCTTAGTAGTAATGTAAATATGTGAAAATAGAAATAAACAAGATCCTGAAAAAAATTGTTTGTTTACTAGCCAATAAAACTTATTTTATTTCGCCTGAAAGATAAGTAACAAAATATTTACATTTTATCTGGGACAAAATACTCTGAAAGAAATTGAAAATTGTCATGAAAATATACAAGATTACACCTTGTGAATGAATCAATCATTTTGCTTATTGTCTGTCTGATTTTTCTTCAAGTAGAGTGAGTATCAGTCATTTTTCATAATTCGACTATTTGGCTGGTTTAGTTATGGCAGGTTATGAAAATCATATAAGAAGAAAACAGATCCTCAACGGTCAAGAGCAGATTATATTCCACCTTTTTGAATAAAAAAAAAACGATCTAGATACACATGATTTTATTCCCTACGTAACCTTAACACGTTGTTTCATCTTGTTTCATATGTTTTTCGTAAAATTTCTGTTTGACAGATATCAGGTTGAAACGAGGATTGGAAATTTAGGTAGATACACTGCTTCCTTCGAATTTTATAAACTCGAAAAAGGTTCAAATTAAGTAATTCACTTGTTTTCCAACGAAATACTTATTCAGAAAAGAAACCATGGATTTGAAAAATTGATTACTTAGCTGCTGACTACCTATTAGTTCGTAAGTCGAATGTGTACTTTTGATTTATGAAATATATACATTTTTCATTTATTTTATGGAAAAACGTGAATTTGTGCGGGAAAATCATTAGCAAGGTGGAACAATGTGTAAAATTGACGTAGTGAAAGATCGTGTGTATCCCGATCGTTTCTTTGTGCAAAAAGGTAGAATATCACCTTTTTTTGACCTTTTTTGGGGCTATAATTTTTCGAATGAAGAAAGCTCCATGTTTCAACTCCTGAAAAGTGTTCTGCTCATCATTTCATGCTCGATTGTATGTAAGTATGAAAACATTTTTCTCCAAAATTTTCCACTGTAGGGATGTCCGAACATTTACCATGTTTATATATTCCGCAGAATTCACAAAATAGCGGGCAGAATAGGGGAATGCTGCACGAATTGTCAATTCCAAAATGAAAAATCACTGTCTCTCAAATTTCAGTTATTTGACTTGGTTCTGATAAAGCATGGTTTGATCTATGTGTAATAATAGTTATGCTAATCATTTCGTGTTTATATGATATAAAAAAAATGTTGAAATTTTTCAGTGTTGATACCATTTAATCTGATAGGAAATGAAAATTTTACTACAGGTAAGTAGTTTCTATTTTGGAGATTTAAATTCATCATGCAGTGTTTTCTATAATTGAAACTTATACTTCAGTTTATAGACCATATGAGATACCTGACGATTTCATCTGAAGCACATGTATTTTTTTATGTTGGCTACTCTGTTTATTTGCCATTGTTGTCCATTTTTGCTCTTTGAAAGTCGTTTTCATAAGGATTTTCTTTGCAGAATGAATTTTTCTCAGTTGGCTACTCTTTGTATATGTCATTAGTGTAAGTTGTCATATATAGTTGAAGTTTATTTTTCCATTCTTGAGTTTCATTTGCTGTTTTGATTGAATTAATTTTTGAGTGGTATTCTGAATAGTTAGTTGGGTTAACGACGTGAACACTTAACATACAATTGAAAAACGACTAAAAAGATACAACTCAATATTAGTGCCCTAAATTTTGATAAAATAATCAACTCCTACTTAACTGTCGCTTTTAGAGAATGTGAAGGTCTTTGGTGTTGTAATTTAGGGTTTTGTCTACTCAATAGGAATTTACAGCAAATATACTCTGATTATAGTTTACCAATATAGCCACCCTTATTTATTATTTCCAATAAACTTTTGTTTCAATATAACCTGTATTTCATCACACCAATTTCAAAAGTTCAATAATTTATGACCCACCCTATAGATACATAAAATTAAGATACAGTTGTAAAAAATTTTGTTCACTCTCCAGAGTACAATTATGTTGATGAGATTTTGTTTAATATCTTTCAAAGTACTTATTTATGTAGGCATTTCAATCGTTTTCAATTTACTTATCAATTTGGGAAATAAAGTGGGTAGTAACACTCCCAAAAAGTTATGTCACAGCTACATAATATTCCTTTTCACGAAATATAACGGGTAACATTAGCACCTACCACCCACCGTATCCATTCAATTTTTTCCACTGACCACGCTCCAAAACATGAATGAATCATCATACAACTTTCGTTTTTAATTATTTATTGTGTCCGAGTATAACCATGACGCGACTTGCCATCTAGTAGTCATGAAATGTTAATAAATTCCTAGAATGAATTGATTCATTGAAAAATTTTATCATGTGGTTGAACTCAAAAAACCTTGCCCTAACCGTTAGGAACTTACCAAAACTTTCGTGAATCTCCTCTCCAGTTCATTGGGATCGGGCATGGGTTGTTTTTCTTTAGCTTTTATCGTACTCTGCCTGATGCTAGCCTGTCTCCCATGCAACTTTGAAGATATAACACTATCGGGCCTATCGGCCTCCGGTAAGGCCTCTTTTGACACTGTTATTCCCATTGTAAGCAGTCAAAATAAACACTCACTGCACAGAAAACAAGAAATTATTACATTTGGCGCACCTACACACTAAGTTTTTCATCACGGCTAGCGGAAAGTTCACATGGGAGCAACAGGTTTTCAGTCTTCAAAAATAAAATAAAAACAAACAACATGCTGCAATGACAACAAAGCTCGCAAAACTGTTGGAAACTATAAAGACGTGCTAGGGTGTAAGTTGATTTCATGGTATGAACGCATGCGCTGAGAAAAAATCATACTAAAGACATACAGCGGCATCTACACGTCGGGGAACGATACACTTCCTCTTGTATTACAGAAATACAAAGTTACAGATTTACCTAGTCTATATACAATGGATTTACCTATACACGATATGACGTCACTGAATTCACCAAACAACAATAGGGGTGGACTGGCTTTTCTTGAAATCGTCAGGAGTAGTCCTTGATTTGAACAAATTTTGAAATATAAGTAGGAATTTTGGAACCAAGAATATCAAAAACATTTGCAGTTCAAATATATATTATACACTGGACACAAAAATATTCATATTTCAAAATTACTATTTTACAACCTTTATTCCCCCTGTTTACATTTTATACCCACATATTTTATACTGTTCTATGTATCATATAGTACCTTGAAAGGACAGGGGGCCTATAATAGAAAATTATAATAATAATAACATGTTACATTTTTTATCGACCTTTTTTGGGTATTTGTTACCTTCCACAATCTTTTACGTTTTGGAGGCCAAAATCTGCCTCCGTCTTCAGAAATGGATAAAAAAAAAATCGAATATATTCGCAGTTATTTCTTTTTTGATATCTTATTTCTTTACTTCTTCGACAGATGTCAAAGAACATGTTTCATTTGTTGTACAAACTTTAAAAACCCCCCTAATGAAATTTGATTTTGTAAATTTCACAAAAGAAACATTGTTCCTTTTACAGTCAAAGTACTAACCTAGCATGGTTAAATAAATTATACTCCACTCACATAGAATATAGTCACACATGATAAACCTTATTTTCGAACTTCACTTAAATAATAATAGAATTGCAATTTTTCGTCTCACAGTTTAGAGCCTTATATGTTTCTAGATTTGGAATTGTGATTTCGACTAGAGTAGGATGTTGTTTTTATTAAACAACAATATAAAAATTACTTATTTTTGAGGATCTCTACACGCAACTCATTTTTTTTTGCCCATTTGAAATCATATAAACTTAGTGTGAAACATTACAGAATGTAACTGCTGAACCTGGGACAGGATTCTTTCAAGCCACAAAACTTATTGTATTTCATTCTAAAAATGAAATTTTTGTCAACCAATACAAGAAAATAAACTATTAATGTTGAACTTTCATCTTTTTATTGTTGAACTATTATTTTACAAAATACAAATAACTTTTGTACAACTACCAAACAGTGCTAAATATTCCATTCAGTTAGTTTTATGAAATATATATTTACAAATTTGTAGACTATAGGTCAGTAAAGAAAAATATATACAAATTACTCATTATATTATTAAAAAAACAAAACAAATGTGATTATTTATACACTGAGATCGAGCAAGTTCATGATTCATACGGAGTTTCAAACTTGGATGTCTTAACCTAAAAATATGTTTCAAATTGCATGGAGCATTTATGTTTTCCTGTTATTGGGGGATAATATTTCATATGCTCTATTGGAAACAAAAATGTTTCTGATAGACCTGTGGGTTCACATAAAAGTTACTCATTTATACTTTTATCAATGCTAATATAATATATGTCAAATAATTAGGTATTGAAAAATTAATTTGATTTATAGTTTCACATGGAACAAAAATTCAAAACGAGAATTTTTGTTGCTTTTCTTTAAGTTGGTCAGACTAAGTAACTATTCTCAATTGGTTTTGTATTTTATTATCACTGGAATAAATGAAATTTTTGTCTATTGTTGAACAACACTGTAATGCTAATTCAAAAGTCTTTGAAGAAAACGTTCTTTGATGGTTGGAGTTCAGTCTCCTAGGACTGAAAGATCTGAAATAAGATAGTGGATGAATACTCAAAGAGAAATGTATAAAAAAAAATTATAGGACAAGTAGGTATTGCTCTGGTAAATTGGCGAAAAAGCACAACGAATATGGTATAAAAAATGGAACAGAAATCCAAAGCAAATATGAAAAAGTGAAGCATAACAGAAAAAAAATCATTGATTTAGAAAAAATAATGAAAAACGAAGCCATTTTCAAGAACTGACAAGTATCGCTCCATTGAGGTCTCAATCTGCCTACTTCTCAGGCAATGACACGTTTGAAGGGTTTTCTGATTTGACGCCGGGGTCATAATCTGCCTACTCCCCCAGATATCGTCACTGATCTTCGCAAGAGTCTCAATATGCCTACTCACAGTGCTCGCATTTTTGTAGGAATCAAACGTTAGAAGGTAAGACCTCGTTAGTCCTTAACTCGCACAAGTTTTGACTTCTGAGGGTTGTCGTTCGTAGGGGTGCAGTAGCTGGTTAACGGAAAAACAGAGATTTTGAGTTATCAAAAATACCAGCTATCACATTTCATTGTTTGTATCAATATTTTGTACACTATGTAAATGTCTTCTATGTAGAAGTAAAAGTTCTCATTTTATTTGTGTGATCAAGTCTGGGACACCCTGTCTAGAATTGTCAATGCATTGTTTCTTACAACAACGTCAGAAATGTCTGACATTTCAAGAGTGACACTTCTATATAAACTTTAGTCTTCTTGTAGTACAATTCCATAATAGTAGGTACTAAATTCTCAGAAATATTATTACATTGAAACTAAAACAGTGTTGTCAAGGTTGTGATTCTATATATTTCGTCATCAATTTTCCTCATCTGTTTAGTATAATTTCCTTAAGCCACTGCAAGAGACCGATCAAGGCAAAAACGTCAGTCATTTCTGATAATTTATTGCCTACCATTTCAGAATAATAGGTACTATATTTAATTTAAATCATTACGACCATTCAGTACAACTTCCTTAAAACTGTGGTAGAGTTAGCTTATTTTCTAAGGTTTGGCTATTCGAAGAAAAAGTTTATTCCTATGGCTCACATGGTTGGTAGTCAATCTCTACACGCCTATTAAACATGAACTTTTTCTCCCAATCATACAACTACTACTACTCTCTGCCACTTGATTGTTTTAATTGGTGGCATGACATTCGTCACAAAATTAGGATTCAAAACCGTCCTAGGGTCAGGAACGAGTTTAAGGTGCTTGATTTTTGTCATAAGGAGTAAGTGACGTTAGTTAGAAATCGTCCAGATATTTGAAAATGTCTTGAGGTGCATCAAAAGATATTGTATACTGTACTGTATACTAGAGAGACAAAACCTGGACCTAAAAAAATGAGCATATTCATGGTCAAAAAAAAAAAAAATGAAGATACAGATAAAAAACAGCTTGTGAACAGAAAGCTGCCAAATATCTCTCAGAGGCCGTCGAAAATGGTATTATAACATTGAGTTGTGAGAGAAATATTTCCTGCAACTATTTTCCATTCATAGTTATATCAATAAACATTATATTCTGTTATACTACTATTATGTTTGTTAAGAATAAGTCCGGGGAAAGTTACTGATTATGTTTGGAGAAAATTAAATTATTGCAAAGGTCTCATAATGGGAAACCCACTCAGTCCCATTCTGGCAGAAATTTTCATGGACGATTTGAAGAGAAAAATACACAGTAACCCACTGGTAAGAAGTTTCGTGTATTCGTATAGATATGTAGATGATATGTTTAACAGGAACGAACAGACAATTAACTAAGTTCTGGAATTTCATTAATTCTCTCCACCCTTCTATCACATTCTCCATGGAAATGGAAAAGGACGACTCTATGAACTTTTCGGACATGACAATAACGAAAGTTAATAACAAACATGATTTTTCAAGTTATTGTAAACCAGCACATACAGATATTATCATTCATAATTTGTCCACCCACCCGTATCAGCACAAAGTAGCAGCATTCAACAGTATGATACACAGACTGATAAATGTTCTTTTTTCAGATGTGTACTTCAATAAAGAACTGAATATAATAAAACAAATAGCCGTCAACAATGATTACGATAGCAGTCTAATACATTCTCTATTATCAAAAAAAGTTATACAGACAAGCTTTGAAGGAAGTTTACCCAATTTGAAGAGATGAGTATAAAAGTTATAGAACCTTAACTTTCTTAGGCCAACCCACTACGAATATTTCAAATTTTCTGCACAGTAAAGGTGAAAATATTGCTTTCAAAACAAAACCAACAACTTAGACATGTACATTAAGAATAACAAAGATAAAAGTTCAGTTTCAGAAAAATAGGAAGTGTATAGACTATCATGTGGGTCATGTCTAATATTTTATATAAGTCAATGAATTACACCTGACCTTTTCAGGTAGATTCATTCATTAGAAGGTCGGCAAACCCTTGAAAAAGCTTTTGTATAGCAAAACACTTATCAAAGTTTTTGTAAAATCCTTTATAGTGAAAATTATGCAATAAATGTATTTATGAGTGCACATTGCTCTGCTACAAAGATGGTTTGTTTTATTTTCAGAAATAGTTGCAGTAAATTTTGAAATTTCCATGCACAAAGCTGTTGTTGAAGTTTGGAATACTGTTGTGATTGGTGGATGTTGATATCATGTTAGGTTAGGTCCAAAGTGGGTGGGTCTATTAGACCCTCCACCGCAACCCGCAAGGGTTTATTGTGGCTCATACCTATTCTCACTCGGCCAAACAAACCTAGCTTCTTAACGAAGCCGATTAGTTTGTATGGTGAGTGGTCTTTCAGGTCGGATGGTAAGAGTACGGCTCTGCCGAACTCTAAAGACCTGATTCGGTCCCCAGCGGGGCAGGCACAAAGTATATGCTCTGTTAAAGAGGCAGTCCGATAGTCAAGTTGCAAGATTCCCACGACAACCTTCCTATATGAGGGTTTTTGCACCTCGGCTACACATGACGATGACTTAGATTCAGCCGTGCAGGGCTTTTTTGCCTCTGGTTTTGGTGAGACCTCACTTGAGCGCAAACGTTTGCTAACCTGCTCATGGGGGGTTAGTTCCCCCACCTGAGACAGATTCTGCGTATGCCGCAGCTCTCGCTCATGAACTAAACTTACAGGGAGGTCAATTGGAGTTATAAACTCGACA